TAAAGAATGATGACTCTTCCCTTCGAGCATATACTACTGGAGGTAGCATGCCATTGCGAGAAGTGTGGCTGAGTGTGCGAGAGAGACAGACAGTATGTCAGTACATGCGCTCTCCCTCTCTCTTGCACGCTCAGCCACACTTTTCGCAATGGCATGCTACGTTCAGTAGTAGATGCTCGAAGACTCTTCCAAGCAAACATCAGCAGATAAATCCACAGAAACACAACCAAAACGGAAGCTTTAAGAGTACCGAAATTAACCCAAAAAACCGTTTAAATTTTTTTCGGTTCGGGTTCGACACATGGAATAAATTATAACATGACATATGTGTTCAGTTTCGGTTCCGGTCCACAAAAAAATTACGGTTCTGGTCCGGTTTTCTGTCCAAAAACGGTACGGTCCGGGTCCCTGATTTCTATATATAAATTTATTTCAATTCGAGCATATACCACTGGAGGTAGCATACCATTGCGAAATGTGTGGCTGAGTGTGGGAGAGAGACAGAGAGTATCTCAGTACATGCTGTCTCATTCTTCGCTTCAACGACGAGAGCCTATGAGCGCGAGCATTAATTTCCAACCAATCGCGTGCATGTTCGAAGATTTTCATGATTAATCAGGCTATTCTACGGGCAAAGGAAAGGGGCTAATAAAGTAGAATAGGGAAATAGTATTCTCATTCAACGCTAATAATTTATATGAATCTATAGGCTTTTTTTCGCGAGTGAAGTCGTATGTTGTAGTATGTGTAGTATGAGTGAATATTACGTTTTTGCGAGAATAGTCACTCATTTAAACTACTATGTGACGTCACAAGTTTAGATCAAATGACTGAACTCTTCACCCTTCAGCTGAATATTCTGTTGGTATATTCAACTAGTATTGTCAGCCGGTAACTTAACCTTTTTCTTTTTGACATTTTGTTTGAATGAGGATAAAAATCGTTCAGCAAAATGATGGATTCTGATACGGCTGTGGAAGTGGTCAGTTTAAATTTAAACTTTAGAGGCACAGATGTTTTAGTAAACGTAGACGTTGATGGTAAGATTAATTTTTTATATGGGACATATTTGCGATCCACTTTGCTTCAGGATTATCCTCTTTTTTTTTTGTGACCTAAGCCAGAGATAATATTGGTGGAATCATTTGTAATTCAGGTCTTTTTCGTATGAATTACATAAAAAACCGAACATATGATATGATTCTCTAAACTTATAACATAAATAAGGAACATCATCCTCATTCCACAAAAATATCAAAAAATATAGGCATGTCACAATTTCTGTTTTGTAGCCATTGACATAAATGACCAAATTCCATTCTCTTACGATAACGATTATGTCGAATATTCGCATATCTTGCAACATCAGAATCTACATACTTTTCACGCTTTTTAAATTTGCCACTTAAAAATATTCCAAAGAAAGCATTGATATATTCCTTCAGTTTTATTTGAAGCAAATACAT